CATACCCTGCCTTGGTGCGCCTCTGAACCTGTTAGTTGTCAAACGGATCACGGCTGTCGGGATCCGTTTCTTGAGTGCCAGGCTTCTAAGTTCCAACGGAAGAAGGCATGACATTTGCCCCTCCTTCAGTATGATCCTCGTCCCAAATAGGAGCAGTTGGAAAACGACGGCAAACAACATAATAGTCCTCCCAGGTGGCACAATCCTCCGGCAACGATGACCACTGCACAAGGATTTGAACAACAGGTTCGTTACCTTTTTGAACGATCCTTCGTTGCAAAATGATGCACGGCTGAGCTGAACAATCCTGGAACACATGTGGAGGTGGCAGAGGCTAAAACTTAGGAGCAAAACTTGGATTGAATTCTTTCAATTGGGAAACATGAAACACCGGGTGAACTTGACAACCCTCCGGAAGAATTAGGCGATAAGCCACAACACCAATACGAGTAGCAATCTTGAAAGGCCCGAAATATTTGAAAGCCAATTTAGGGCAGGGACGATTGACAATGGAAGGCGAAGCATTTTTATGCTCGATAATATCTACGGGATAATATCCAATTTTTTGGGGGAATATGGGATAATGCCCGTGCAGTCTAGAAGTCTGGAAATGCTGTCTTGTTTTCTCTTACTTGTTTTTGGAATTCTACAATTATTATGGACTGACTAGTCCTTTAGAAAACGATGCCTGTTAGTATCTTCTATAGCTAGTCGTTGCCTCATTAATGTATCGAGAATGAAAGCAAGTATAGAATAGACACCTGCCTTGACTGGGTAATAGATTTAATCAAATTTGGAATATTTCAAGAAGAAGAAAAAAAAATAGAAACAAGAGTGCCAGCTAATTGGACTGTGTTTTCTCACTTGCTACAAAATGACTATCGTTTTTGCTGGTTCTCCTGAAATTCAGCCTCTCTTCACACCGAAGAATTACGGCTATCTGAATTGCCGAACAGATTAATCTCTCCACCGTTGATTGGACATTTGGTTTCGTTGGATTGGATCGTCTAGTTTGTATTTATTAACTGCCGCCACGGAATGCCTTGGAGCTGGAGCACACCCAAATGGGGCTGGATACTGGAGCTGTTGAGGCTAGTGGTTGATGCTGTTGTGGCGTTCCGGTCAATGGCTAGTAGCTGAAGGTGTTCCTGTGATCTTGCTGTTGCTTGTATCTATCTGAACTTGCAGTCGTCAGTGCTAATGGGTTTTTGCCCCGTATCAGATGTTTCAAGTGCGGGCACGCAGCATCGGGTTTCCTATTAATGCATCGAACTCGCTCTCTCTTTCTTGTCTCCTTACTGTCACGCCCCGAATGCAGCGTTGTTGGGAGAAGCGTCGAGCTCATGCCATGGCCAAACGTGCAGAAGCAGAACACGGTAACGGTCGAAGCTGAACCAGAGCCACTGCAGGACAATATTCAGATTGAAGCTACTACTGTCGAAACTGAACCAGCGCAAGTGCAGAGCAACGTTCAGACTGAAGCTACTGTTGATGATCTGGCTGGTGGGACCCGCAAGTCAGCTCGATCCCTAGCCCCTTCCACGAAGTGGGTTCTATGCTAGCAGTGGGGTGCGCTTGTAAGTGTGTTGGTTGAGTGTAGTATTAGTAGCCGCTAGTGGGGATGATTTTAGCATCCTTCCATCCATCTTCTCTTCTCTCTGTAATCGGATTGCTGGATTGAATCAAACCACTTGAGCGAGAGAAAATCAAAGATCCCTGTTGCTGTTGCTAATGGGTAGGATCATAAAACTTACGTTCTGTATGAACTGAATATTTCCTGTAGTAAACGGAAAGGGGACAAGCTCGGTTCAGGGGAAAAAGCGACTGCACTGTGAAAACTACACAAGCGGGTTCTGCAAAGAAGTGGTGGCCCAGTGCGAAAATTGCTTGTCTAAAGAGAGAACTCGCCTT